TTTTGTTTTTCCAGACCTGTACATGTAAGAAAGTATAATTTTTAATGGTCATCCGCCAATACTTTGGATGTACCATAGTTGATTGAATTCATAGGACTTCATATTGTTTCTTGTTTGTCACTAATATTAACAGTATTGTGGTGAAAAATGTTGTGTACCTATGTTTTGGTTATTGTATTTCTTACCATCTAAACATTTATTGGTTAATCTTGTAACATTAGTATAAAAGAATACTTCTTTGTCTAGTTTTGCTTCTCTGATAGATTAAAAATAATGTTTCAATTTATTTTTACTTATTATTTTGTGAAGATAAGTTTTTGGTGTCCCTGGTTATTTTTGTGTGTATATGAAGGTATCTTTGTCTTTGGTACACATTTTTTTTTAGATATTTTATGTTTATCTGATTTATACGCACTCTGTATGTTAAAGAAATTTCTTTTGACATTTGTGAGTTATCTGGGTTTTTTTGCCACTATAGCAATATCATAGACTGGGAAATTTATAAACAATAGAAATTTTTTTCACCCATGCTTCTGGAGGTTGGAAAGTCCAAGAACATGACATTAGCCTCTGGATAAGGCCTTCATGCTGTATCATGCCATGGAAGAAGACAGGAGGGTGAGAAAAAAAGGGAATAAGAAAGAGCCTAACTCACTTTTACAATGAATCTATTCCTGCAATATCAAAAATCTATTCCTGAGAGCAGAACCTCATGCTGTAGTTACCTCTTATTAGGCCCCACCTCTGAACACTGTTGCACTGGGAATTAAGTTTGCAACTGTGAATTTTACTGTACACATTCAAAACTCAGCAATATGTTAACATTTTTCTTGTTTAATAATTGTGTTTTAACTTTGTTAATAGTACCTTCTGTCACAGAAGTTTTCATTCACAAATTTCCATACTTATTTATGTTTGGAGATTTATAGTTTGAAAGACTTTCCCATCCTAGATGAAAGTTTCGATTATTTTACATTCACATTTATTTTTGATTGATACAAAACTAATTTTGATATATAACCATGAAGTATGGATTGTACAAATGGCTTTTTTCTTATTTCAATATTTATTGAATAGTTTGTCATTGTCTCTTTATTTTGAGATGTGATTTTAATCATTTACTCTACTGTCTTAAATACTATATTATTCTTTTTTCTGCTACCAACAACACAGACAGGACAGAGTGACCTGAAGAGAGGTTTATGTTGGCTCATGATTCTGCAGGTCCCGATGGGGAGGGGCTGCATCTGGTCTCCTAGACAGAGACCTGAGGTGTGATAAAATGCATCACAAGGCAAGAGACAGGGAATGTGTGTGTGTGTGTGTGTGTGTGTGTGTGTGTCTGTCCCTCTTCTCATATGGCCACCAGGACTCAGTCACTGGAGCTTCATGCTGTTGTTCTCATCTCCTCCTAACTGCCTCCCAAAGATCCCACCTATGCTTAGCATAATCCAAAAAAGTTTCTGCCCCCTTAATACCTCACCTTGGGGTTTAAATTTCAACCCATGAAATGCTGGGGAAAACTCAAACCATAGCCAATCCTATAGTTTATAATACGTATAATATGTTTAAATGTATAGAGAATTAGAATCCATGCATTAGAATCCATGCATGTTATTTTTTTTTTTTTTTAATTTTTAGTTGTATTTGGACACAGTACCTTTATTTTATTTATTTTGTGTGTGGTGCCGAGGATCGAACCCAGCGCCTGGCACATGGTAGGTGATCCGTCTACTTCTGAGCCACAGCTCTAACCCCTCATGGATGTTATTCTTGCTTCTATGGTTTTTGTTTATTTTCCCCCCTTCCCCTTAGGCACTTTAAAATAATTTTCTTAATATCCTCCAGTTTAGCTCAAAGCTTTTTAATCTTCCTGATACCATGGTACGTTTTCCTTGTTGCAGAGGAATATGTGTTGTTTTGTCAAGTCAGTGTTTAAAGGAAAACATTTCATCAATGTTTTAAGCCTGAGCAAACATTCTGTAGTTTGTTATGTTATCCTGTTATTCTCTTTTGCTTCATATGGTTAGTTAGTTTATCTGTTCGTGTATAAAGGAATTTGAGTTTGCGACCACTGTGTTAGAAACTGTTTTTTCAGGTGTTTGGTATACTTACCTTGTTTTCCTGTTTTTGGTAAATTATACTAGAATCTACCCTATTTGCTACAGTCTTATTTTTTTGGTGGGGGGAATACTGGGGCATGAACTCGGAAGCTTTACTACTGAGCTGCACCCTCTGCCCTTTTTGATTTTGAGACAGAGTCTTGCTCAGTTGCTAAGGGTCTCCGTAAGTTGCTGAATGTGACCTTGAACTTGGCAATCCTCCTGCCTTAGCCTCTGAATTGTTTGAATTACAGGCAAGCACCACTGCGCCTAGGAGTCCTCTTTAAATCATCTTTCTCTCACACCCCACGTCCATTGCTTCAGCAAGTTCGAGCAGCTTATTCTCACCTCCTCACTGCTACTGTTGTAGCCTAAGCCACTTTGGCCTCCTCACTAAACCACAGGAACTTTCTAATCATCTCCTCTGCCTTGCCTCTCTGTGTCCATTCTTTACAGCCAGAATGAGTGATCTTTTAAAAATACAGATTAGATCCCATTCCTTCTTATTGAAAATCATCCAGCATTTCTCCACTGCTGATTCACACATACAAGCGTTCATACTCATACAGTTTTGAAGATCTGTACAAGGTCATATGTCACATTGGCTACATCTCTATACCCTCTCATCCACCTTCTCCACATTGCATTGCTATTGAACTCCTGGCCTGTCTACCTTCCCCAGCTTACTTCTGCTGCAGGACTTTTGTTGTTACTGTTCTTCCATGTGGAATGCAAACCTGCCTCTACTTCCTCTGAAAGGCAGTCTTTGACACTCTATAATGACACCCCCAGACTCCTCTGTCTGTTCTTTACCCTACTTTAATTTTAGTCATAACATTAGCCTCTGCCTGACACTTGGTGTGCTTATTTTCGCATTTGTCACCTGTCTCCATCATTGGAACGTTTTGCTCCACATATACAAGAAACACTATATCTTATTTAGCACTGAGCTTAATGTATGGTACTTGTTAACATCATTTTAACATGTGTGAAACACTTTTCTATGGAGAGGACAAGATTTTCATTTCACAGCTAAGAATTAAGATTAATAGGTGAAAACACTTAAACTTAAAATATTTAAAATTGTCTAAACTTGACATGCACTTAACCATTGGAGATAGTGAGTTCATGTCACTCAAGATTTTCTAATACAGCTGGTAGTTTCTTGGAAAAGTGTAAAAATAAAGAACTAATCTTTGTTGTTTCTATTCCAATTCTTACAAATTTATAAGTATAAGTAGCATTTTATTGTCTTTAACATTTCATCTGATCTATGGATGTCATTTTGTTGACTTTCATTTTGGTTTTTAAGTTCCCAGGCAACTGGAGTAGTTAATATTTTCTTCTTCTTTTAGGTCATTAACGCAGTTTACAAATCTTTCTTTCTTGGGAAATGTGGATAACTGTTTGTTAACTGCTAAGTAACATGAACTGTTTCCTTTTTTCCAGATCTGTTTTCAGCCAGTAGAATCATGTTTTTATTTTTAGCTATGAAGCCTTCCTAATTCTTTATTTAAAATAATACAGGTTTTTTACCTCTTGAAATTAAGGATTCAGGGTATAGTGATCCTCACAGTACTATATATTTATTTATTTCTCCAGGATTCAAAATAAAGAAATAACTGTTTATTTTTATACACATGGAATACTCTTACTAGTCTTCATTTAGTAGTAATTATGGAATGTGAGCACTTTTCATGTCTAATGAATAGACAAAATTATAGCATTTTCCTCTTTATCTGCAATTCTATTCAGTTCACATTCATAGTCAAATATGAATTACATGTTGTACATTCTGAAAAAGCAGTGTTACCTTAGTGGTACCTATCATCGTGTATATTTCATTTATATTACCGTTTTAAGTCTTTTAATATTTTACTAATCCTCATTTTTTTTAAACTGGCCCTAATCTAACAGACTCTTCACATCTTCATCTCCCTATCTCTTCCCACCCCCACAAAAATCAATACAGAATTGGGCAGGAAGCTCTGCTCTGATAGCACCAGTTGAATTCAATGTAGATTAAATTATAAAAATATTGACCTTAGATCTCCGAGGAGAGACACTGCTTTGTTTTGTGGCTTTTGTATAACCCTGAAATCCAGAAATATCTGGTTGGAATGTGATGCATTGTCCCTTCTTGTGTAGTTCTGTTCCCTCTAAGTTGCATAATGGCTGTAATTTTCTCAACCTACTTGCTTGGATTTTGATAGGCATCTTTCATTCCAGTACAATGGCCAAGTGAAAATGAGAGATTCCTCATGATTCTGAAAAGCCACATATTTTACTTGGCTTTCTGATTCTGAAAAGGTACCCAGAAAGTGAAATGCATGTAGATGGTTTTCTAAGTTGCATTTCATCTGTATGATCACAAGGACATAAATGAACAGAAATCTCTCTCTTCCATTGACAACTGAGTGTTTTTAAACCCTTCATATTTTCATTTGTCCTGCTTTTGAAAGATGAACTACTTTACTAGGTAATTTTTTAAGTGAAATTGGCCAAATCCTTTTGGTCTTTGACTGCGAGGATGGTAAATTACTTCTCAAATGTGAAATCTTTTATTAGGTTGAAAAGTCAGCTTGTCCTTAGAAGGAACACTAGAAAATGAAATGTACTAATAATTGTTGTGTTGTCTTCTCTTAGTGTGATTAATAGTAATCATCTTTTTTCCTTCCCCCTTTCCCGCTGCCTCTTTCCTTCCCTTCTCTGTCTTCCCATGTACTTTTTGAATTTATTATAAATTGACCTATGTTTTTTTTCTCACTTCCTTTTTTTTTTTTTTTTATAATTTTGTGACCTCCTGCTCTATCTTCCCCATTTGCTTGGGTCCCATGTTGCTAGTTTTTATGTTCGCATGCTCATTATCACCCTTTTTTGTACTTCAAATCCCAGCAGCTGCCCAGCCAAGTCCCTGAGCACAGCCCTGTGGTTTATGGGACTGTGGACAACGCTCATCTTGCTGCCAGCACCCCTGTCACTGCAGCTAGCGACCAGAAGCAAGGTTTGTGTATGACTGTTTTCCTCCCTCTTACTTAATAGTCTCTTTTTTCTTAATTACATTGCCCTTAGCATTCAAAAGTAAAACATTTGGAACTATTTCATCACTCACTTTTAAACAAGTCTTTGAGATGGAAAATATTCTACTTCTGGGAAACTAAAGTAGGCATTATTAGTAAAAGGTTTTTTTTTTTAATATTTGTTAATGCCTTACTGTTTTTATGTATAGATAAAAACTAAGATGCCTCAGACTTAAAAAAAAAAAAAAAAACAAGGGTTGGAGGGGAGAGTAAATCAAAGCGTATATTATTTTACAAGAAAAACACAGATTGATTTATACATTCAACCTGTCTTTGTGTAATTTACTATTTTACAAAAGATGAATTGTTTCCCCTTGCAAGATTGGGCTGCTGTTACTCTCACCCTAATTAGAGAAAGCATTGTTCAAATCCTGGCTCCATTGGGTACTAGCTAATTGGTCTTGATTGAGATCACTTATGCATCTCACTTTCTTATAGAATAGGATGAAGGCATACCTCACAGAGTTGTGAGGACATGCCTAGCACATGAAAAGTGTTTAGTAAATTAACACCATTATTATTGATGTAGGAATCATACTAAGTAAGGTCTTTCCCTGATTGACCTTGAAAACGAAGTGGCAAATGTTTGTTGAAGTAAATACCATGCCTTTTGGAATAAAAATGGAAAACTTCAAGGGAAATCTTGTGCCCCAAATTGGATATCAAAGTCTTTCCTGCTTAGTTGGTTTTAGCCCTAATATAGCCAAAATTGGGAACTGATTCTCAGAAAGAATAGGGAGAAGAAAGTAATTGAGCATGCTTTCTAATGGCTTCTAACTTCATTCTAAGAATGGGTGGAAATAACATGTGTTACCTACTGGCTTTTTTTGTAAATACTTTTTTAGATATAGATGGACACAATACCTTTATTTTATTTATTATTTTTATGTGGTGCTGAGCATCGAACCCAGTGCCTCACACCTGCCAGACCAGCGCTCTGCCACAACCCCAGCCCTATGTTACCTGCTTTCTTGAGTTATAAATTCCTCCAAGCCAGGCGTGGTGGCGTACTCCTGTAATCCCAGTGGCTAGGGAGGCTGAGATAGGAGGATCACAAGTTCAAAGTCATCCTCAGCAATGTTGAGATACTAAACAACTCGGAAGACCCTGTCTCTAAAATACAAAATAGGGCTGGGGATGTGGCTCAGTGAGGTGAGTGCACCTGAGTTCAATCCCCTGTACCAAAAAAAAAAATTTTTTTTTTCTTCAAACCTTAATATGCTATCGCTGGCTATTATTAAATATATTTTCTAAAAATTATCTTTAAAAAATTGAAATGGCCCATAAAATGGAGTCATTTAATATTAAATATTTTTGGCTAGACTGCAGTTTATCACAGGTATAAACCTTCTGAAAGATGGAGTTGTAATACATGATTTTAGTGTTTTTTTTTTTTTTTTACTTCATGGAAAGGTAATATGGCATTTTAAAAATAAGTTGTTTTTTCCCTCCTACCGAGTATTTAGAAACCTACTTTAAACAGGGGTGGGGGTGGGGGTGAAGGTGAACAGAGGCATGTCTTACATTGTGTTTGTTGTTAAAAATTAGTTTTAAATCAAAAGATACAAAATGAACCCTGACCTGTCATGCTTTTAAAAGTTGCATTGGCAAATACTTCTTTACTATGCTATGTTCAGAGTTAAAGGTAAATTTTTTAATATTAATGTCATCAACCTTGAAGAAGGTATTGAGGAAGATTACTCCCTACTCCCATTTAAGTCAAAATTTATAATGATTTTAAGCTTTGTGAAGAAGTTTGTTTCAAAATTTTACTTCATTACACTTTTGCCTAAAAGTAAGAATAACACACTTAATGTTTCCTGTGCAGTGAGACTTTGAAATGTCATTGCATGCTTTCTTTATAGCTATGATGATATATGATGATGATACTTCTCATCCACCTGAGGACAGTATTATCTCTTTTAGAGTTACTTTGCGGAAAAGAATGCTAAGATTTTCAGATTATGAGATCCTTTGTTTTATCATATATTCCTAGATTTCCAGACAGGGAAATATAGAATTCATGAGTTTGTTCAGAATTTTTCTTGTGAGGGCAGGGGGAGTTAGTGAAAATTTGAATAACAAAATCCACATTTCAGGGTGATGTACTTTGTAAATAAGTGCGAATTGGAGAAAATGTATATCAACTACATTCAATAGAACTTATAGATAATCCTTTGCAACTACTTGCCATCTTCTTCCTAGTACTAAGTGCTCACCAGAAAATTCAGTAACTATTTTATAATTCTAGCCATAACCTGATGATATATAAAATAGCCTTCAGAGTAAGCTTTTGCTTTTTATGAATTTACTATTTCATCATTTTTATTATTTAGCAGTGCTGGGTATCAAACCCAGGGCTCCACACATGCTGTACAAGTGCTATACCACTGATATACACACCCTGCCTTCACAGTTTTTTTAAACATTTAAATGTATGTGTATACACACACATACACACACACACACACTTTTTTTTTTTTTTTTGTACCAGGGATTGAACTCAGGGGCACTTGACCACTGAGCCACATCTCCAGCCCTATTTTGTATTTTATTTAGTTGAAGGGTCTCACTGAGTTGCTTAGCACTTTGCTTGTGCTGAGGCTGGCTTTGAACTCGAGATTCTCCTGCCTCAGCCTCCTGAGGTGCTGGGATTATAGGCGTGTACCCCTTCACCCAGGCTAAACGTATATAATTTCCATACTATTAGAAAGTGCTCACCATATTTTAGATGAATGTGCTTTTTTTATGCTTACATTCTAAAATTTTTCCTTAATCATATGTTCCTTTTGAAATTTAAGAATACACATATAAATTGTTTACTAAGATTGTTATTACCTCCCCAAACAAATTATCTGTTCTGCAGTTAGCAATGAAAGTGTCATTAAGTGAAGGGTTTGAACTAGTTAGCAGAATTTCATGTGAGTTCCCCCATCTCTTTCCTGCTTCATTTAACTAAATAATTGTATTTTCATGAGCCTTTTCTTCCCAAATTAGAAGAACATGAGCTTTACAATCATTCTCAGGCTTGTTATGTGACCTTCAGTTTCCTCATCTGTAAAACGGAAACATAAAACTTTTCCATCCCACTAAGGTAACCATATATGTATTGTATTTAACCTAGTCCCAGTCACATAGATGTCTCAGTTTTTGACATGAATAGCTGAAATGGTTTTAAAAAGACAAAGGTTCCTGAGAAGTACATTGTTTTCCATTTGTTTAGTATTTTATGAAGTCAAGGAAGTGCCTTATATTGATATGTAGAGAAACCATTCAATTCAAATAATTAAAATCCTTGCTTGGTGTTCATGGTGTAGACACAGCTGAAATAATTACTGTTTCCTAAGTGAGAAAGTGTGTTCAATCTAATGTTTTTGAGACTGTGGCATAGATAATTAATATAAACAGCTTTAGAGGGGGACTTGTACTCTTAGTGCTTGTTGAAAGCACCTAGTGTGTAGTATTCGGTGAATGGTATTCTGCTGTAATTCAACTGTTCCCAGCAGTGTTGTTCAGCTTGGACTCTGTTGGCAGTTAGGACTGCTGCTTCTTAGTCAAAGGCGACTGTCCCTCAATTGCAGGCTGCTTAGCATTCCTGGTTTCTTGTCTACTAAATGACATGAACACCTTTTCAGTAGTTGTTAGACTTGTAGAAACCAAAAGGCTGTTGGTTCCACCACCAGTTAAGAATTATCTTTCTTATAAATATGACACATTGATTATCTAATCTATGGATATACGAAATGAAAAGATCTTTACTCATTACCCAGAGACTAGTGTTAAAACTCAATTTGGTAACTTAAAAAATACTTAACACTAGTGGGTTTAATCTCTACATGGCAGGTTTTGTCCTGTTTTTAAAACATTTTTTCAATTAAAAATAATAACTTTTCATATGACTAATCTTTTCAGGACTTATTTTTACTATTGAATAGTATATGCCATTATATGCCTAGGCCATCGTTTATTGAATAAATTGTTTGTTGTTTGACATTTGGTTTATTCCCCCCACCCCTATTATATGTTGCCTTAAATACTCTAGACATCTATCTTGGGCTCACTCTTACATAATTGTTTCCTTAGGAAAAAGAATTAAAGATGGAATCCCTACCAATTCCTAAAGGTGGCCAAAGTCAAGTCTTTACATAGGGATAAAATAAATGGTTGTCATTTACATCTTCTGTATTGTGCTTTTCAGTTTTCTGTAAAGCTTCAGTTTCCTGCAGTTAAAGAAATTTTATGTCAATGAGACACTCTTGAAATAAACTTTGCTTCTAATTTTCTTAATACTAGATTTTTTTTCAAAAGTGTTATAGTTCTCTCAGTCCTATATTCTTGTTAGATTGTTAATGTGAGAAGTACTATTGTCTTCTTAAATTTATTACATCTTGATTTTTCAGTGATCATGAAGGCTGTTATAATTTGATATTCTTGTTTTATTTTGTTTCCTTTTTTTTGTTTGTTTCACACATGGCTAGGTAAGTGCTTCACCACTGAGCTAAACCCCTAGCTTCTGATTTGCTTTCATGAAATGGTATCATATAATATCTGTGATCAGTGAGGCAGTTACTGCAGTGAGTTGGAAATTATTTTCATCAGATATTTCAAGGAAATTAATTTTTATCATACCATACATATTCCACCCAGAATGTGTATATATATAGAAATGATGTATATATAGAGACGTAATTTCTATACATATGGGATATATATACATTCTGGATGGAATGTATATATAAAAAGACATATTGTTCTGAAAACTATTGTCTTTTTGCCTGACAACTTATTCAGAGGAATTTGGCTGTGAGACCCTATTGATCTTATTTCACCACTACTATAAATAGGCAAAGTCCAATTTAAAAGCCTTTGCTTCTATATCCATAAATTGATGTGAATTTGGAGACTATAAAGTGTAGTGGAAATTATTGAGTTAACCTTTAACAGCTTACTGATAGTATTTACCATCTGTTTATCTGATTAACAACATATTGTTTTTCACAGACTTAACTACAATTTATTGTAAAGACTGATACATGAATTATAGAGGAGAAAATTTCTTCCAGTTTAAGTTGTCTTTTCTTTTCATTGGAGCTTCTTACAGTGCTTCAAAAGCACAAGGCTTAACATCAGTCTAAATCTCATTTATTTTCATCCTTTCAGGGATGAATCTCATATCATTTACCTGGAAATTTTGTTAATTAGCATCACTTTTATTCTCTGATACTGTTATTGTTACAGTTTCTCTTTTTTTCCTGGATATTATTCTTTTCATATTTTATATATTATTCCAAAATATTACAGACATGTTTACTCATTGTTCTTTTTGGTTATATTTATCTGAGCATTAACTCTGTTTTCTCCCTAATGATTTATTTTACACATAAAGACACAAGGTGCATTTTCATTTTTATACCTATTTCTGGTTATTTCATTTGGGAGAAATGAAAGTTAATTTCTAAACTTTTTATGTTCATACTTAATTTCACTGATGATCAGTTTCACTGATATGAAACTGATCAGTGGTTTGTCTTAAAACATAATTTATTATCCAAGTCATATCTTTTATTTTTTACTATTTTTAAGTTGTTAATGGACCTTTTGTTTATTTATATTTGGTGCTGAGAATCGAACCCAGACCTCACATATGCTAGGCAAGCATAATTTATTATCCAAGTCATATCTTTTATTTTTTTTTTACTATTTTTAAGTTGTTAATGGACCTTTTATTTATATGTGTTGCTGAGAATCGAACCCAGCACCTCACATATGCTAGGCAAGCATTCTATCACTGAGCCACCACCCCAGCCCCAAAGTTTTTTTAAAATAAAGATTCCTCCAAATGGTTAAATATATGGAAACATCAGTCTGTATAATTTAATTTCTGATTATTTGACTTGTGCTATATTTCCACTATAGTGTAAACTTGGTGGAAAAGTTTTCCACCGGGAGCAAGATATGGTAGAGATGCAGATCTGCCTACCTTACAGTATGGTTTAGCTTCATTCTTGGTGAGCTTTTCCATTGTACTCTTGACACAATTTTATTTCGTGAGTTGATTCCTTCTCTTACTCCAAAATAAACTTTATATGTATTGGAGACCATGTAATAGTGGGTGTAACTAGAAAAAAAATGACAGTGTTTTTGAGGTACCAGATGATTTGTGATGAGATGGAAAAAAATTGTCTAAGGCAAATACAGTGTAGTCTTTGGTCCAAGAATTGTTATTAAAACTTTTTATTGTTTTTTTTTTTTTTTTCTTCTCCAGAAGAGAAGCCAAAACCAGATCCAGTGTTAAAGTCTCCTTCCCCAGTCCTTAGGCTAGTCCTTAGTGGGGAGAAGAAAGAACATGCAGGCCAGACAGCTGAGGCTACCACCATAGAATCCATACCAGAGCATCCTCTGCCTCCATCACCTACCACCGTTTCTTCAGTTGCTCGAAGTACAGTTGCTTCCCCCACTTCCGCTGCTCTTAGTAGCCAACCAATATTCACCACTTCTTTAGATGACAGATGTGAACTCTCTTCCTCAAAAGAAGATACAGTTCCCACACCCAGCCCTATATCCTGCACAGAAACATCAGACCCTTCACCAACAGATGAAATTGACAGTAATATATGCAAGAAACCCTGTAGTGTAGCATCTAATGATATGTCACTGATTTCTAGTGCTAACCTAATTAATGAGATGAATGGAATTAGTGAAAAATTACCAGCCACAGAAAGCATTGTGGAAATAGTAAAACAGGAAGTATTGCCATTGACTCTTGAATTGGAGATTCTGGAAAATCCCCCAGAAGAAATGAAAGTGGAGTGTATTTCAACTCCCATCACCCCTTCCACAGTTCCTTCCTTTTCTCCAGCTCCTCCAACTCCTCCAGCTTCTCCCCCTCCACTTCCAGTCATTGTTCCTGCTGCTGCCTCTACTGTGACTACTCAAAGTGCTCCCACTGCAGTACAGAGAGTCTTCGAAGAGGAAGAAAGTGTAAGAACTTGTCCTAGTGAAGATTCAAAAGAAATTCAAAACAAAGTAGAGGTAGAAGCAGATGGGCAAACAGAAGAGAATACAGATTCTCAGAACTTAAATTCAAGAAAGAGTCCTACCCCAGGTAAGCTGTTCTACCATTAACAATCTTATGCTTGCTGAACACGAAGAAGAGGCAGTGTTTGAGTTATTTTTTAATTGGCTGCTTTCCTTGACTTCCAGAAACATCGAATGAATGCTGAAATTCCTAGTCTGGTTTCTTCAGTGGTGTGTTTGTGTTTTAGTACAGCCTGCAAAAAGAGTTACTTCATTGTCTAAAAATGCAAATGAGAATTTCCAAATATACTAAATGCCTCCAAGGTATATGTCTCTGTACACGTTGGGTCATTTTTTTTTAAATTTTTCTATAGTTGATTAATATGAATTATTTCCTCAGTGGTTAATTTTTTTTGCTTAGGTGGTGCTAGAAATCAATAAAACCAGCATTGGTAGTTCCTGATGCTTCTTACCAATAAACCCCTAAGTTAAAGGAGGTCTTCTGTGTATGACCTTTTAAATCTTAGGTTTAGGAAACAACAATGACAACCTCAAAGCTTTACAGCTACATTTGGAAAATGAACGTGTGCTGAGTAAATGTGGTGTTCTCCCAATTTTTCTTTTTCTTTTTTTTTTTTTTTTAACTTTTTTTCTTTCTTAACTTTCTTTTTTTTTTTTGGTGGTTGGACACAATTGACTTTATTTTATTTATTTATTTTTATGTGGTGCTGAGGATCGAACCCAGGGCCTTGAATGTGCGAGGCAAGCGTTTTACCGCTGAGCTGTACCCCAGCCCCCCTACTTTTTAAAGTTTTATTTATTTTTTTATAAATTTTTATGTAATTAACACATTCAAAGTTGTATATTCTTCCCAATTCCACTTGCTTTTTAATGTAGCATCACCTAGAATCTTAGGAACTGGCCACTAGGTTTAAATTTTTATCAATTTAAATCAAAAGTTTTAATAGAATTAAAAGTTATCTGATGCTTATTACCTGATAAGTCAACCCCCCACCCCTAAGTATATTGGGGATTTGACTTTTAACAAGTCTGTACAGCCCATCTTTTTCAGCATAGTCATGTGCTATATAATTTGCTCTGTGTATATGGCAATTACTTTGCTTAAGCAAAATGGGGCATGTTGACAAATGGTTTCATTTCCTTCGGTTGATCTTGGATATGCATTGGATTTGATCACTAATGTCCTTAGTATTTGTTTTTAACTGTGGAATTGGTAGGCAGACTTGACAAACCGAAAGTCTGATCCCTACTCTTAAGATTTGGTTTTCTTGCCCAGCTCAATTCTTTAGGTAGTTTCCTTATCATTGTCCGTGGAGGTGTTGGTCCCCTTGAACTATAGAATATCTAGTTAAGCATAGTGAACTAGATGTGAACCAAGGCCTTGCACCTAAATAGTCCTCCCGCACTTTTTCACTTTTTCACCTTCATTTTCCTTGAAGTAATTTATCAGTCAGGTGGCCTGATACTGTAAGACAATGCCCAAGGATAGATGGACCTGAGAACAATTTTGAGTGGAGTACTCTCCTTCTGTCCTTGCTATTACACATTTGTTTGAAATGAAAATATCCTTGGAATTAGTAACTAAAGAATAAAAAGAGCTGTGTTTTGTATGACTAACAATGAGGTAGAAATTGGTGGTGATAGGAGGTAAGTCTCTTGACATGGTAATTAGTAGTTCTGTAATTTCCCTTTTTGTTTAAATGTCTTTAGAACCAATTGTCAATTAGTCTCAAAAACCCTTGCAACTATAGCTTCCCCCACCTTTTTCTCTTGGTATTAGAGATTGAACCTGGGGTGCTTTACCACTGACCTACATACTCAGCTCTTTTTATTTTGAGACAGGATCTGACTCCATTGCTTAAGGCCTTACTAAATTGCTGAGGCTTGCCTCAGCCTCCCAAATTGCTGGGATTACTGGTGTGCACCAATGTGCCTGTCTTGTTTGCACTTACGTATTGTAGCTTAAGAAATTTATAAATGATAACTAGTTTGGTTTGGACATCAATAGTTTGTGTGTGTGTGTATGTGTGTGTGTATGTGTGTGTGTATGTCTTGTTTGTTTTTCATTTGAGAAAGCTTCTTGCTTTGTTGCCCAGGGTGGATCTGAAACTCCTGGACTCAAGTGATCATCCTGCCACAGCCCCCCAAGTAGTTTAGGTCTATAGGTGTGTGCCAGTGCACCAAGTCAGGATAAATTTTGGGTGCCAGCTTTTCAGACTAGTTTCTGCCTAAAAATGAATTGCTTCAAAGGTGGCTTCAGAAAGCACTTGCTTTTAACGGGTATTACACATAAATAACACTATACACAGTACAGAGATACTGTGTAGTATAGTATAGTATAATAGTATATTAGTATAATAGTATATTATGTATACATACATAAAAGTGCTTGTATTATATATTTATATATGTATATATTTATATATTTTGTATATGTATACATTTTACTATACTACATAGTATCTATGCTATTGATTCAGCTCTGTATAGTATCTCTAAATTAACTACTGTGTATGTGTGTGATGTCAGGCATGAGGTCTTTTCTCCTTTGCTGAATACATTTTCTTGCAGTTATTCCTGAGCGGATCAAAGTGCAGTGGGTTTGGATGCTTAGGGATTGAAGAATGACTCTTTATGAAATGAGAATTGTGTTTGTGTGTATGTGTTCACTACGCTTGTGACAAGCCTCAGAGATTGGACAAACTTTAGACTACTTATAATATTTGGTCATTTTAAGAATTCAGTGCAAAAACTGTTGAGGGGTTTCATGAAGTCTCGGGAATCTTTGTCATGATTTCTGTTCACTTCATGGGGAAGAAAAGAAAGAGAATGTTTTTATGGAAAAACAGTTTTAATTTATCATCTGGGAATTCATTTTTTAGAATTTCAGGCATTCTACCTGTTACAAAAATCAGTATTTGAAATTCTTTAGGCAAAGGGGGTTTTCCAATTTTTTAATTTATTTTGTTTTTTTCGATCTTGTTCATAGTGTATTCTTTCTTTGTATATAATTTATCTTATGAGCACAGGTAAATGTTCCTGAATAGAGATTAAGGACAAGTTCTTCCAAAGTAGTTTTGTATTTACTTTATCTGCTGTAAGTATTTAGAACACTATTAGTTGGAATTCAGTCTGGATTTATTATCCTAAACCTGCATTTATACCCCCACATAGTGTGACACAGGTGCTGATGTTTCAGGGTTTCAGCAGTCCTCTCCTCCAAGCTGAAACAGAAAATTTTTTCTTCCCATATGGGTGTTGGAATGTCAATTCTTTGGCACAATGCCCCACACCCCTAGACGTGTAGCCCAGCAGAACAACTGACCTTCTCCACTTGATTGCCTTCCAGAAGTTCACCTTATATTCTCACAAGCTCAGCTAAGAGTGGAGGAGGTTTTCCAGATTCTGTAGGTCACAGGACAAGAGATTTATTTTTCAAATGAAGATATGGTTGAATGTTTTAGGAAGATGTTAGTAAAGTACCAGTTCATATACCCAATCAAGTTGCTGGGCTCTCTTTTGAGTTCTTAAGTATAAATGGAGCATATTTTAATTCAGGTGAAAAAAATTAAGATTGCTTGCTTTATTCACAACTATAAGAGTATTGAAAATACTTTTAAAGAAAACAGTAAGCATAAAACTAGAGTAAAAGTGTTGCATTAATGTGAAAAAAATCTATTTTAAAAATCTTGATCAGCAGGATTAGGGAATTTTGAAATGTATTCTAACCTTTCCTCAACTTACACATTCTAAGCAGCATTTGAAATGTCTTTGGATCTTTTAGTTGCTGAGGCCAAAAGTAGACCACCAATGGTTTGAGTGTATCCTTATCCCTTGACTTCACATTTCTCTACAGACATATATCCTGGAACCTGAGTAACAGGACTTCTTACACATTGCTCATTCCCAGTCACCTGCCAAAACCAGCAGAGCAATCCTTAAAGCAATGATTCTTAACTCCCTTTTACAGGGACTTGATTCTGAGTGATCCTTTGAGATAAGGTTTTCCCCACCTAATTTGAAAACTGTTTCCTTCAAAGATGCCTATAAAGTACATTTCCACCATACCATTCTTATTTTCTTTTTATTCTTCATAGCACAGTCTTAGCTACTTCCTAGAAAACACTGTTGATGGGTCAGATTCTGTCCTTCAGGTAATGCAAAAGGAGCCCCCTTGCCCAGCATCTTGCACAGTTTCCCTTTGCCTCTTCATTTGAGATCTCTCTCTCTCCACTTTTTTTTTTTTTTTGGTAGTTTTAAATGGACAGAATTCCTTTATTTTGTTAATTTTTATGTGGTGTTGAGAATCAAACCAAATACCTCATGCCTGCTAGGTAAGCCCTTCGCCACTGAGCGACAAACAGCCCAATAGTAGTTCAGGTACTTGAAGCAGATCTTCAAAGTTTGGTTCACTGGATATTAAGTAACATATGTGTCCTAAAGTAGACACAATTTGTTTAGAATTTAGCTCCCTTTCCCCCAGGCTCAGTATAACCCTCCTTCACTATGAGGGACCACTGTACTTGACCTGCTTGACTTGAAACTACTCCTGGAAAACCTGAGTTTTACTAAAAGCTTTTCCCTTCTCCTGTCCTTGTACACACGGCTTTGAGGATTGTTGCCACACCTTTAAAAAGCAATTCTCCCTGCTAATGCAGACAAATGCCCCAAGTGCATTTTCTTTAATATATAGTTTTTCTCCATGTTCTATTTTCATATTAAATATTTGGTAATTTAGTTGTAGTCATGATGAAGTTATTTATAGAAACTTTCTCAGGCATCTCAAGCATTATTATTTTAATTGATCAATTATTCCTAGAATATAATTGTTTTTGTTATACTGATGATCAAAATAAGGCAAGGAATGTTAAATCACTTTCTCAGACTCACAGGAGAATGATAACCCTTTTCTTTGTCGCATTCTTTTTTTTTCAGACACGGTTTCGTCATTGATTCAAAATTCTTTCTTTCTTTTTTTTTTTTTTTAGTATTTATTTTTTAGTTGCACACAATACCTTTATTTTATTTATTTTTATTTTTGGTGCTGAGGATCCAACCCAGGGCCTT